CCGAAACCAGTTTGGCTCAGTGGATAGAGCGTCGGCCTGCGGACTGAAGGGTCCCAGGTTCGATTCCAGTCAAGGGCATGTACCTGGGTTGCGGGCACATCCCCAGTAGGAGATGTGCAGGAGGCAGCTGATCGATGTTTCTAACTCTCTATCTCTCCCTTCCTCTCTGTAAAAAATCAATAAAATATATTAAAAAAAAAAAAAGAATACTCTTTAGCATTTCATATAATACTGGTTTGGTGGTGATGAACTCCTTTAGCTTTTTCTTATCTGTGAAGCTCTTTATCGGACCTCTAGTTCTAAATAATAGCTTTGCTGGGTAGAGTATTCTTGGTTGTAGGTTCTTGCTATTCATCCCTTTGAATATTTCTTGCCACTCCCTTCTGGCCTGCATAGTTTCTGTTAAGAAATCAGCGGAGAGTCATATGGATAACTACCTTGTAGGTAACTAACTTTTTTTCCTGCTGCTTTTAAGATTCTCTTTTTGTCTTTTGCCCTTGGCATTTTAATTATGATGTGTCTTGGTGTGGTCCTCTTTGGATTCCTTTGTTTGGGTTTCTCTGTGCTTCCTGGACTTGTAAGTATATTTCTTTCACTAGGTAGGGGAAGTTTTCTGTCATTATTTCTTCAAATATGTTTTCACTATCTTGCTCTCTCTCTTCTTCTGGCACCCCCATAATTCGGATGTTAGTAGGCTTGAAGTTGTCCCCGAGGCTCCTTACACTATCTTCATATTTTTTTATTCTTTTTTCTTTTTGCTCTTCTGGTTAGGTGTTTTTTTTTCCTCGTATTTAAAATCATTGACTTGATTCTTGGGATCCTTAGTCTACTGCTGAATCCCTGTATATTATTCTCTTTTTTAAAAAAATATATTTTATTGATTTTTTACAGAGAGGAAGGGAGAGGGATAGAGAGTTAGAAACATCGATCAGCTGCCTCCTGCACACCTCCTACTGGGGATGTGCCCGCAACCCAGGTACATGCCCTTGACCGGAATCGAACCTGGGACCTTTCAGTCTGCAAGCCGACGCTCTATCCACTGAGCCAAACCGGTTTCGGCTTTGTATATTATTCTTTATTTCAGTTAGTGTATGCTTAATTTCTGACTGGCCCTTTTCCATTTTTTTGGCATTCTCACTAAGATCCTTGAAGGTCTCACTAAGTTCCTTGGAGGTTTCTGGAAGATTCTTGAGTAACCTTATAACTATGGTTTTGAACTCTATATCCAGTATTTTGCTTTCTTCCATTTCTTTCATCTGTGACATGTTTCTTTTTCTCCAATTTTGGCTGCTTCCCTGTGTTTGTTTCTATGTATTGGGTAGCTGCTAAGTCTCCTTGAGTTGATAGAGTGGCTTTGTGTGCTAGGTGTCCTATAGGGCTCAGTGGCTCAGCCTCCCCAATCACCTGAGGTAGACACTCTTGGTGCACCCCTTTGTGGGCTGTATGCACAGTCTTGTAGCTGAGCCTTGATTACTGTTGGTATCACTGGGAGAAATTGACCTCCAGGCTAACTGGCTGTGGGGACCAGCTGTGACTACAGTGGGAGAGCTGCTGTGCAGGAGACACCCTTATTAGGCAGGACTTGCTTCAGTGGGGCTTTGGTGTTCACTGAATCTGCCCCTTGAGTGTGTCACTTATGGATGTGAAGAGTTGTAATCTGGTATGGTCTCACACTGATCACTGGGTACACTGTCTCTTGGATCTCCAAGGAGGTGCAAAGTGAGCCACTTCCTAGGGCAGTCGTGGGCAAACTACGGCCCGTGGGCCGGATCCGGCCCGTTTGAAATGAATAAAACTAAAAAAAAAAAAGACTGTACCCTTTTATGTAATGATGTTTACTTTGAATTTATATTCACACAAACACTCCATCCATGCTTTTGTTCTGGCCCTCCGGTCCAGTTTAAGAACCTATTGTGGCCCTCGAGTCAAAAAGTTTGCCCACCCCTGGCCTAGGGCCACCCAGCAGGAGCTACAGAGAGATCTGCAGATTTCTCCTCTTTGTATCAGATTTGGAAGTGCCTAGACAAGGCCCAGCTGTGAAGAAAGGCAGGCTGGTGTTGGTGCCGGCCTTTTATTGATAGCTTTGGGGCTCCCTGACCCAGCTGTTGCTTGGTTGATAGGGTTTAGGCTGAGAAAGGACAGGCCATTCATATGCAAAAGCCACTGCGCACAGCTTGGGTGGGGTTGTAAATCTGGTGGGTGTGGGGGTCTCAGGGAATCACGAGGGCAGAGCAAACAGAAATGTCTGCCAGTCAGCCCTGCACCCAGGAGGTCCCAGCACAGAAACAATGACTGCTGGGAGCACCTCCGTCTGGAAGAAAGCTAGCCCTGTGTTCCTGCCCTGATGCCAGACAGTCCAGTTTCTCCGGTACCTGTCTGGGTCCCCCAGAGCCTTGCCCAACACTGGAGCTCAGAACAAGTGGGAGCTTGTAAATTCAGTTCGCGGTGCCGCCTTTTAAGAGGAGCGTCTGGGTCTCTAGCAGCCTGTGTATCACTCAGCTCCAATTCGCACATGTTTTTACAGTCTGTAGTTCTTACCGCCTGTAGGGTCTTCTTTCCCCAGCTCTGGAACCCTGGGCTGGGAGTCTGGTGTGGAGCTGGGACTCCTTGCTCCTCCAGGCAGCCTCCAAAGCGGTGATCTCCCTCATGATTAAAAAAGCAGCATACCCGGGTGCTGGACCAGCCCGTTCTGTGCCTCCGCACCTTCTACCAGTCTCAGTGCGCTTTCTTCTATACCTCCCTAATTGTATCCACTCAGCCAGCTTTCCCAGTTCTGGATGATAGTTGTTCTGTATTTTAGTTGTAATTTTGATGCATTAGAGCAGGGGTCCTCAAACTTTTTAAACAGGGGGCCAGTTCACTATCCCTCAGACCATTGGAGGGCCTGACTATAGTTTAAAAAAAAAACTATGAACAAATTCCTATGCACACTGCACATCTTATTTTGAAGTAAAAAAACAATACGGGAACAAATACAATGTTTGTATTTGCATGTGGCCCGCGGGCCGTAGTTTGAGGACCCCTGCATTAGAGGGTGGTGAGGGAACTGTGGTCATGCAGGGATGTCCCTGTTCTCAGGAGCTGTGTGGTATTTGTATAGGGGTGAAGCAGCGTGGTGGATGCAGCTTACTTTCAAATGGATGCGAGAAAACTGTGTACGTACCTGAGAGGGATGATGCAACTATGGCAAAATGTTGACAATTGGTGATTTTGGGTAAAGGACATGGTGTGGTGTTCATTATACTATTCTTTCAAATCAGGGCAGGGGGTTCCTCCACTGCTGTGCCAGGGGCAGAGAGGGGGCCCAGATTCCACACATCAGACACTCCCCCCCCCCCCCCCCACTGGGCTGATACAAGGAGGGCAGGGTCCTTCCCTAAGACCCTGACCAAAACGCAAGGCCCTTCCCCTGCTGCAGCAGCAACACTCATGCTCGGAGGGGTAACAGTCCACCCTGGCCCCACAGGCCCGGCATGGGGAGAGCTGTGCGGCCAGCTGGATGGTTGCCCTTAAATCCAGCCTGGCTGTCTCCTGCATTCACTCACACCCTGAGTGGCTGTGCCCAAGAAACCTCTTCACTTACCCTTTAAGTCACCCCCAGCTACATCTCAGGGTAGGGGTAGGCCCATGAAGGCTCCAGTTCTAGTTCATCAGAGCTACCCATGGTCACTGCTCAGCGTCACTAACAGGGTCCAGAGATGAGAGCACGCATTCTGAGCACGAGCGGTCTGGCCCACAGGATTGGGGTGAGCTCTGAGAGGCCCCACCAGGGGGGGGGGCAGCCCGAGTAAAGCCCCTGGGAAGGTCGCTCTGTGCATCCTCTGGGCCTGAGTCACTGGGAGACCAGGTGTCTGCAACCTAGCCTGCCCCAGGCCTTTCTAAAAGGCATGTTCTCACCACAGGGCATCAGAGCCTCCCATCCTTCTGCCTAGAATCCCCGTCCGCAGAAGTTAGTGAACACCCACGTCCTTCCAGCTGACCAGAGTGCTCTTGGCCAGGCAGGTTCGGTGGTGCCATCGCAGGTCCCCACAGCTTGCTACCACCTGCTGTAGACTTGGATGCAGGTTCAGTGTCTGTCTCCCCACCAGAGTGAGCGCTCTGAATGAACTGTGGGTGCTGGGCCTGGTAGAGGAACTCCTCGGGAAGCACGTTCAGTGCACTGTCAGGGTGGAGGCAGCTGTGGGGGTGAGGGTATCGAGTACCCCATCCCAGGACATATGCAGAGTTGGGTCTGGTTGTTAGTGAGGGCAGCCCATCTTGGTTCCCATACAACAGCTATTACGCATTTATTTCTCAGAGCAAGCCAGTAAGTAGATGCTGTACACGTGTCCAGGTGAGGAAATTGAGAACTTGATTTTCTTGCCCAGGATCATGGAGCTGGTGATTGACAGCTGGAATCACGGCCTCTGCCCAGGCCCGCTGTCTTCATGGAGCTGCTGTTTGGGAGGGAGTCTGGCTTAGTCTTCTGGGGAGTCTACTCCCCCTGCCTTCTCCCAGCCTGGCCCACCCACCACAATAACACCATGAGCCCTTGGTACACGTTACCTCATTTATTCTCACAACATGCCTGTGAGGTAGGGAGGGGCAGGGACTGTCCCCATTTTACAGAGGAGGAAGTTGAGGCACACAGAGGTCAAGTGACTTGCCCAAGGTCACAGACGGTGGCCAAACTGGGATGGGGCCCCAGAACAGGCCCTCAGTTCACCCAGGGCCCCTGCAGCAAGTGCTGGACATGAGGACGTCTCCAGTGCTGTAGCCTACACCCGGCAGAGAGCAGCCCTCGTGCACTGAGCTTGCTGCAGGCTGGGCCTCGCCCTCCCCTCCTCCTGCCCTCCCCACAGACCCGGGCCATTGCAGCTCAGGGCTCATGACACCCTGGGAGTGGGGCTAGGGGGCAGGGGAGAAAGAAGGGTGGATGGGGTAAAAAAAAAACAACAAAGAACAGAACAGAAAACTTAGAGGCTGGGCAGGTGGGAGACGGAAAAAAAAAAAAAGGCTGCTTACACACAAAGTATATATTTTTACACACACTTGTACACACACCTAGATATAGTACATGTAAAAATATATGCTATTCACACACCTGCCTCCTGCCAGGTGCCCCAAGAGCCAGCGGTGGCGCTGGTGGGCATGGGTGAGCAGATGGGTGTTTGTTAAATATACACTCTAAGAGGTCTATGTGCATATGTACACATACTACAGACACAGCCGCCTGCCCCCCCCCGGGTACTGTACACAGGCTTAGCCAGGGACAGACAAATGGGGTCCCTCAAGTGTCCTCTGTGAGTCACTGAGCCATACATTTTGCTGGAAGAAGGGCTGGAGAGAAGAAAAAGGCAGGAGTCTGGAATGTGATACTGTAGTTTTTATCTCATTTCCCTCCCAAAGACTTATACCCTCCTCATCTTTTCAGGGAGATGCATCACCTGCTTGAGGGCTGGCAGATCACAGGGTGGGGGTTGCTTCTGCTGAGAGGAACCTACATCTGTGTGTGTGCACATGTGTGACTTGTGTGAGCACTTGGTGGGGAGGGAACATGTGTCCATCTCTCTGTCCTCTGGGCTCTCCCCTGCAAAGAGGGCTGAGACCCAGAAAGCCACCAGCCGGGATGGTGACCCCTGTGTGAGCTCTGAAGGGAAAGAAACGTAAGAATGAAAACTTCGAGGTCAGCGTGAGGGTAGCTGGGAAAGGAAGGACATGGCAGGTGCCCAAGGCTGCCCTTGGACTGTCGTCTTGTAAACAAGCTCGTTTAAGTTCTCATTAGACAGAACAAGTAAAAAGACTGCAACCTGCAGGCTGGGCCGGGCGTTGCTGAAGTCCCTCCATCTAGTCCACCACGGCCAGCAAGAGGAAAGAAAGTTTTATAGTTTTGTGTTTTTGTTGACTTTTTTTGTGTGTGAAGTCTTCATAACCTAAAGCTGGGAGGGACCCAAAAAAGCCAAATTGTGAGCCCTTGTATGCATCAATTTGAAAGTTGGCTCAGGGTCTCTAGATAGAATAACCATACTAAAGGTTGAGAAAATTTTGTTCCATTCGTATTTAGTTTGTGTGTTTTTTTTTTTTTTTTAAAATGACTGAAAATTGTTGGCTTCCTGCTTCCTGGTCTCAGAGCCGGGTCTGGGCCTCAGGGACGTAGATCTCGATGCTGTCCGCACTCTCTGTGGCCGAGTTCTGCCTCACAGAAGCTGCCCGCTTGGCGGCCAGGAGTCTCTTGCGCGCCTCCTGACGCTGCTTGTCCCCGGTGTCAGAGGCCTTGTCGCGGCTCACTGCCGGCTTGGATTTGGCTGGCTTCTTTGGGACCGGAGGGGGTGGTTTCTTTTCTTCCTTTAGTGAGACAGTGAGGAGGGAAGAGAAATAAAATAAAGGTGCCACCTTTGGTGTGGCACTACCACTCCCTATATGCTGGCAGCTGTAGTCTCCACCCCAGCCTCCCGCATCGGGCACAAGCAACACACATTTGGAATCAGGAAGCCACAAGAAGCAATGATAGTGGGAATAGCACAGGCATAGGAACAAAAAGCAAGCTTAGAATCCTAGAATGTTCCAGCAGGAAGGGATAGACAGGTGACCTTTTCCACCCCTGCTCTGAACCATTGGATCCTGAGACTCAGGCAGGAATGATCTGAGTCACAGCCAGAGATGGGATTAAATTCAGGGCCTCCAACTCTCAGGCCACATGCTATTCTAGGGGATCAGAACTTCCAAGGCCCACAGTCCAGTCACCATAGGGTCACTGGTTCTGCTGTTTTACAGAAGAACCTGGGCCTCAGGGAAGAGCTGGCTCTGGTATACTCCTGCGTAGCCCCAGGAGAAGGACCTTTTTTCTGCCTCTGGAGTTTCAACAGCCTATTCTAGTGTTCAAGGCTGTGGGCACCTCTCCAAGGAGCCCCATTTTCTGAACATGCAGTGGCAAACTTCAGAGGGCAGCCTCACTACACAGAGAGAGCAGCATGCTGGATGAGTGCTGAGCATGGACCCCACGCATGGATGGACGTGAGCCCCCAGCTCAAAGACGACACATGGAGAAGGGAGCCAAGCAGCACTGACCGATGTGGGCAGCGTTATTGCCGACCAGGAATTTGTCCCTGGACTTCCCCTCCGCACTGCTCCATGCTCACCTTCCTCTTCTCGGGCGTCTCCACCAGCTGCCAGCTATTGGCCTTGAGATGGTAGAGTTCATCAAACTTCATGCTGATGTCCTCGATGGAGAGCTGTAGCAGGTCCCAGAACCCTGCCAGGTCCTGGGCTGTTGGACGTGGGTTGGCGTCAGGGTTCTGTGGGGCAGAGCGTTATCAGTGGGACAAGCAAGGCAGAGACATGTCCTGCCCCCCGGCCACGGTTGGGGTCTCTTGGGGCCTAGTCTTGCTCTCCTATTCCCAGGGTCAGTACTGCATGAGTGAATTAAGGTAGTTCCTTGTTAAGGGCCATTAGTAAACACTCTGGCTTAATCTGGCTTAATTTACGTCAGCTGAAATTAAGCGCAAGGGCAAAGCCACGCCCTGAAGGCGGAACCCAGTCAAGCGATTGGATGCCACTCAGTCTGACTCTCCCGCCCAGTGGTAAGGGGATGGATCTCATGATGTCGAAGGCCCACCCAGATGTGATGTAACTTCCTGTAATTTGAGTATATAATAAACAGCTTGCACACTCTGTGTCTGTCCCTCCATCAGAGGGCAGGCTCTCTCTGTGTCTCAGTCAGAGGGCAGACATCACACCCAGCCCAAGCTTTTAATCTAATTTTATGTCTGTCTTTCATTATTCTTTAATCCTGAAAGCGCCTCCTAACTTGTACAAGCAGGTTCACGGCTCCCCCTCCATGCGAGACGCAGAGAAAAGGCCACAGCCCAAGCGCGCCCGGCATAATTCCTGGTCACTACCAGCCCTGATGGTGGAGATCTTTGGGAGAAAGAGCAAGTCCCATCATGAGAGTAGGCTCTGCACATACATGGGAGACTGAGGCCTTTGCCACCACGGTAGGGCTGCAGGGAGGAAGGCCCGCCTGCCCCTCTTGCATGCCAGGCCAACAACAGTTCTCATTTTACAGGGAGAAAACAGAAGTCCCTGACATGGTCTCACAGTCAGGTGGGGAGAAGCCAGGATCCCTCCCATCATTTTGTTCTCTGACAACATGTTCCTCATCATGACTGTCCAAGCCAAACCCCTACAGGTCCTGGAGACGAACACTGACATTGCCCTCTCCCTCTAAGAGTACAGCCCCTTTGGCGAGTTGGAGAGAGGTTTTCACACTCCCAGCAGGAAGGGGTGAGGAAGAGGGAAACCCATCAAGCCTAGTGGTGATATTTTAAAATTTCTTACCTTGACTGTTTTCTTATATGCCTAATATAAATAAATCAATGCTAACTGAACTTTAACTTTCATTGGCTATTTTTATATCAGTTTTCTGTTTCAAAAGGTTTAGCGATCTGAAAAGACCACTCCTGGCCCCTTTCTTGCACTAGGCATTGTCATCACCTTTCTATTGCCACAAGGAGGTCACAGAGGCTCAGAGGGGTTAATTCAGCTGAGGGAGCTGGCAGGCTGCCAAAGGCTAGAAGCCCTGCTGTGGAGTAAGAAAAAATCACACTCACCAAGTTTTGCTCACAGAGGCCCCGGAACTGCTGGAATTTCTGGGACATCAGTAGCTGGGCACTGCCCACAGCACTGAGGACTTTTCCTAAGACTGAGAAAGAGAAGGTGGAATAGATTGACTGAGCCAAGCACAGGTTTCCTGGGTGGAAGGCAGGACACGGTCATAGCTTCCATCTCCCTGCCCCATCTTGCAATACCAGTCATTATTAAGTGACTAGAGACCCAATGCACGAAATTCGTGCAAGGGGCTCCACCCTTGCAGCCGAGGCGGCCTGCCTCGGCCTTCACAGCCCCAGTTTTGTCTGGAAGGTCGGCTGGTCTAATTAGCATATTACGCTTTTATTATTATTATAGATGGCAGTTGGTCTTTGTGAAAAATGCAAACAATACATAAAAATGAACTCCATTTTATGGCAATAAATTTGAAAACAGTTTAAGCGGAAAATTTTTCCAGAAAAATGTAAATTACTCTCATAGACTCAAGAAGAAATAGAAAACCTGATTAGGTAAATAACTGTTTTTAAAAAGTGAAGCAAAAAAACACAAACAGTGAAGCGGAACTTAAGCTTTCCAGAAAAAGATACCAGGCCTATGTAGTTTTACAGATGAGGTTTTTTTGTTGTTTTTTAAAAATATATTTTTATTGATTTCAGAGAGGAAGGGAGAGGGAGGGAGAGATAGAAACAATGATGAGAGAGAATCATTGATCGGCTGCCTCCTGCACACCCCCTACTGGGGATCGAGCCCGCAACTCAGGCACGTGCCCTTGACCGGTATCGAACCTGGGACCCTTCAGTCTGTAGTCTGACGCTCTATCCACTGAGCCAAACTGGCTAGGGCTACAGATGAGGTTTTACAAAACCTTCAAGGAACAGATAATCCCTGTCTTATATTCAAACTCTTCCAAAGAGTAAGTAAAGATAGAAAATGACACAACTAATTTCAGGAGCCCTGACAGCAGATAGGACATGCCAAGAACAGATCACTTTCATTATGAACATAAATGTAAAAGTCTTAAATAAGATATAAGCAAACAGACTCCCAAAAGAAGAGTTAGCCAGGAATACAGGTTGATCTTTTAGTGTGACTTTAAAGTGGTGGCCTAAAGAAATACTACCTCCCATTCCTCTCAGAAATCCCTGAAAAGCAAAACAGAGTAAACAAGAAGTGGAAATGCAAATCGTATCTGATAGAACCTGGAGCACAATGTGAACTGCTGCCACATGACCATGCGCCGGTAGCCACACAGGGACAGGTCTTGAGGTTGAAGGTCTCAGATATCGGTGACAGTTTTGAGTTCTCCAAAGTAGCACACCTTGAGAGGAGAGGCCAATAATCTCTTATTTAAAATGAAAGGGGATGTGGACTGTAGCAGGGCTTTCCTGAACCTGGTTCAGCACCCAGGCAGGGGAGGTCTTTGCATGGTAAGCAGCCCTCCCATAATGAGCTAATGACAAGAGGAACCAACACAGGAGCTAAACAGGTATTATAGGAACAGCAAGTGGCAAGTGAACATTCACCAGAAAATTGTTGCCAGGGAGTAGATGAAAAATATGACATTTAGTTCTAAGTCTGTGAAAACAGTTCAAAGCAGAGATTGAGGTGCTCCCAACAGATGCAAGACAATAGAAAGAGATAAAACATGAGCTCTGGAACTAGGTCATCACAGAAACAAGGGGTACACTACAAGCAGCACATGAATAAACGCTGCTGAAAACCAGATAGGCCAAGGTAAACAATGTAAAACACTCAAACTGCTTGATTAAATGAATAGCTAAGCTGCTGAAAATAAAATGAGTATCCCTCCCCCTTGCCGGAGATAGCAGGATGTGCCTGGCTTGGTCTAAAGTAGAGTGGGAATACAAAAAAAAGTCTTGAACTCCTAACCATAAGACTGCACTTGGGTACCTTATTTTTAAAAATATATATATTTTATTGATTTTTTTTTAACAGAGAGGAAGGGGTAGAGAGTTAGAAACATCGATGAGAGAAACGTCGATCAGCTGCTTCCTGCACACTCCCTACTGGGGATGTGCCTGCAACCAAGGTACATGCCCCTTGACCGGAATCGAACCTGGGACCCTTCAGTCTGCAGGCTGACGCTCTATCCACAGAGCCAAACCGGTTAGGGCAGGGTACCTTATTTTTTAAGAAATAAAAGTTACATGTATTAAAGAGAAACTATAATGAAGAAAGTAATTGAGAGGCCTGGAAGAGAGAGGGAGAATATCAGCATTCTAAAATAAGAGAATAGAGAGAAGGGAAGAAAAATATTCAAAGAGATAATGATTTAGAATTTTCCAGAAATGGCTGACACCAGTCCTCAGAGTCTGAAATTCAAATGAATCCAAAGCAAATCCACACTTATTTACAGTAAAACCAAAGACAAAGAGGAACTCTTAAAAAGCAGTCAAAGGGAAAGATGAACCTTTCCAGTTTTAACCCTGCCCCACTCCGGTTCTCCCTCTGCAACCTTCCCTCAGTGCTCCTGCACTCTTCGGAGGACCATTTCAGATTTCTCCTCACATAGATTTCTCCTAAGCCTCCTCCCACTTTCTCACTCTGCAGTGATGCCCCTCAGCATCAGCAGCACTCAGGTGACCTTCTTAAAACCCTCATTCAGTTGGGTTCTAATTGCCTTTTTCCACCTCACAGTCACTCCTGCTCACTGCTGCAGCCACACTGGCCACCTTCCCTAGGCCTGGAACATGTCCATCATTTGCCCACAATAGGATTCTCTGCCCCTGCAATTACATCTGATCTTCAGATCTCTAAGATCTCTTGCCCTTCAGGTTTCTGCTCCAATCACCTTACCAGGGAGGCCTTTTCTGACCTCCCTAAATGAGACAGCAACACTGCTTCGCCCATGCAAGCTCCATGAGGGCAGTACTTTATTTTGTTCACTACTAAACACCAAAAACTAGAACAGTGCCTGGCAGATCGTAGGTATTCAGTAAACTGCTCAATTAATGAAGGTTAGGACCAGAGGAGAGAAGCTACTTCTCCCTACTATTTCACAATGTCCTTAAGTTCTTGCAGTTAGACAAGCTATGCATGAGATACAGTAAGATTAGAGACCCACAAAATTGCCATTTTAACAAACACTATGATCATTTATGATGTGAATCCAAGAGAACTGAGAATTATTCAAAGCTGCTTGACACAAGATCAACGTACAGGGATCAAACATCATTTCTATCTACTAGCAATAACAAATTGGAATACATAAATATTTAAAAACTAGAGGCCTAGTACACGAATTCGTGCACGGGTGGGGTCCCTCGGGGTGGCCTGTGGAGATCGGGCTCCAGCTCACGCCCCCAGCCTCGCAGCTCTGCAGCCCTGCCTGGCATCCCGCCTTGGCCTGGCACTGCCCCCTCACCTGCTCCACCATCCCGCCTGCGGGCAATCAACTGGGGCCGGGCCCCCTGCCCAGCTCCCTCAGCACCTGGGAGCTGGGCGGTGGCTCAGCCCCCCACAGCCGCTGCTGGTCGCCACCTGTGGGATGATGGGCCAGGTGATTGGGCCCCGCTCGTACCTGCCTTGGCCTGGTGCCGCCCACTCACCAGCTCCACCATCCCCCTGCTTTCCTTGGGGCCCATCAGGACTGCTGCCCACTGCCAGTACCGCTGACACCCGCCATATTCCGCCCCACCCTCTGGTGGTCAGCGTACATCATAGTGAGCGGTCCAACTCTCAGTCTCCTGGTTGAACTCCTGGTCGAGCGACTGCCCGAGGGGAGAACTTGCATATTAGGCTTTTATTATATAGAATGAGCCCTGGCAGGGTGGCTCAGTTGGCTGTCATCCTGTGCACTAAAAGGTTGCAGTTTCCATTCCTGATCAGGGCTCATATCTAGGTTGTGGGTTTGATCCTTGGTTGGGGTGTGGGAGGTAACTTATCAATGTCCCCCCCCCCCACCTCTCCCTCTAAAAAAATCAATAAAAAAGCATATCTGTGGATGAAGATTTAAAAAATTTCATTTTACTATCAAAAACTAAAAGTATTAAGGAATAAATCTAATAAAATATATTAAGACTTTCATAGAGATATTAATCAAACAAATTTTTCTGAGGAACTTGACATACTAATTCTAAAATTAGTCTTAGATGAGTGAAGATGTAATTTAAGTTTTCTTTTTTGGACAAAAAGAATAAGGAAGGAGGATTCACCTTACTAGATACCAAGTCATGTTACAAAGCTATGGTAATTGTAGTTGTATTAACACAGAAAAGGACAAAAGAGCAGAGGAGCAGAATGGAGCCCAGAAACACACCCCTGCATATGTTAAAATCTGGCAGAGGTTGTGATTGACCTAGCATTACTAACCAGTGAGAAAAGTAAAGACTTCAATAACTAGTGTTGTAACAGCTGGCTTTCCATATGAAAAAAAATGAGATCCTAGAATGCACAAATACAAATTGCAGATGGATTAAACACCTACATAGAAATAAATAAATAAAACCCCAAACTTTGGCCTGGCCAGTGTGACTCAGTTAAGTGTTGACTTAAGAACCAGGAGGACACAGTTTGATTCTTAGGGCACATGCCCAAGTTGTGGGCTCAATTTCCTGTAGGGGGCGTGCAGGAGGTAGCTGATCAATGATTCTCTTTCATCAATGATGTTTTTATCTCTCTTTTCCTCTCCCTCTCTCTGAAGTCAATAGAAAACAACAACAACAAAAAACAAACTTTGAAACCATGAAAAAAATCTCTATGCTTTTGGAATACAGAAGGTGTTCTTAAGAATCAAAGATGCATTCAAGACAGCAAGAAGATATAAGAAATACAAACATATGCACCTAATGACAGACCATCCAAATATATGAAAGAAAAACTACCAAACTGAAGGGAGAAATAGTTCTACAAGAATAGATACTTAAATACCCCATTCACAATAATGGATAGAACAACTAGATGGAAGATAAGTAAGGGAATAGAGGACTTTAAGCAACACAACAAAGCAACTAGATCTAACAAACGTATATGGAACACTACCCAACAACAACAGAATACATATTCTTCTCAAGTGTACATGGGACATTTTCCAGGCCATAAATTAAGACTCAAAAGATTTTAAAAAAGGTAACA